ATTGATTATTATTTCATTCAACACTCATTATTTGTTTAATATTATTGTTATATTTTCTTCATTATTCATTTTATTTGAATATTCTGCTTTTTTAAATTTCTTATTATTTTTTATAAATGAGATGATATGTTATGTGTAATTTTGTTCTTCAAACATAAAATAATATTCTTATTATAACACACATTAATATTTGATAAAATTTTAAAATAATGAATAACATAATGATTGATTATTAAATCAGAACTTATTTATTTTTAAATTCATAGGTATACCATTGTTGGTCCTTATCATTGAGTTATTTCAATGGAAATTGTTTTATTTTTAATTTTCATAAAGTAGTTGAGTATTTAAACTCGAAATAGGATTAGATGTTCATTAAGAAAATGTCAAGTTGTTGTAAATGTTCAAGTCATGAAAATGAAGATAAAAGTGAAAAAGGAAGATGTGGCTGTGGACCAGAATGTAAATGTGGATGTCAAGAAGGAGGAAAATGTGGATGTGAAATGAGGAAGAAAGAACAAACAAGTAAATGTTGTTCAAAAGAACAATGCAGTTGTGGTGGAAAGAAAGAATAAACAACAAGACTATGAAAAGAAGTGACTAATACACTAAATTAATAATTCACAATTATTTTTTTAAGAATAAACTGACTAACATTTGATGGGGTTATGTATTTGATAATATTGATATGAGTTTAACTCTTCTTCACAAACCAAAGAAAATAATAAAATGAAAATTAAAATAATTGACCAATAACTTATTATATATAATCAGAATAAATATGAAGAAGTTTATAAATCCCACAATAAGGACTATTCTATTTATAGTGAGAGACTAAAAGATAAAATAATGAGAGAATTTAAACAATGAGTAAGAATAACAAATAAACTTTAGTTTAGGTATGACTTAATAAATTTGAAAATATTCATAATTAATTTACAATGTAGAAAACAACAAAATGATGATTAATGAAAATAGGAAATGATAATACAATTTTATTGACATGTATTTAAGTCAAAGACATGTTAATATCA